TGTATGTGTGTGTGTGTGTGTGTGTGTGTATATATATATATATATACCTGTATATATAATACAATACAATACAAAAAATCATCACATTTTACTACAATTTATATTTTAGTAAATAGTAGATTTTTGAGCAAGTGTGTGTGGAATCCTAACCTTTGGTGTTTAATGTTTAAGGACTCCACATACGTCCATCATCTTGCCATCCCAGTGTCTGGACTTACTCTGAAGACGCGAGTGTTTGCCGCTGTAAAAGCCACCAACCTAGACAGGAGGTAAACTGCAATTACACAAACATATCTTGGGAAAGTATCTTGCAAGGAGGCCCAAATGCAAAACATAGTGCAGACATGATACTGAAACAGTCTAATTGGTGAGTTAACCATGAAATCTGATGGAGGTCAAATGTCTATGGTCTTTGGACTGTGTCACTGCTTTGTTAAAGCACTTCCCTAAATGACCTCCTCTCTTATATCTGATAAATCCAGAACTGGTTTAGCCCATTAAAGGAGGAATGCTGAGTGACTCAATGCCGGCCTTGTTTAGGGCCAGCGATAGGCGCCACTAAAGTGGATGGGAAAGATTATTATGGGTCCTGAGTAGAGATAAGACACATGACTTCTATATGAAACAACAGTGGTTTACTCATATAGGGCCATTTCATATCCAATCTTCCTTGTTTTGTGACTGATTCACGCATGTCACTCCCCACAGGTGGAACGTTCTGATGGACTACTGTTACACGACTCCCTCTGGGAATCCTAATGATGAGCTCCGATACGACCTTTTCTTTGGGTAATTCCATGTTTTCTGGATGTGCTTGCACATATATGTGTGTCTAACTAGAACTGAGGCTGAATGCTAGGTGTGTCTTGTCTCTGGTCCAGCAGATGTGATAAGGACCCGCAGACAACAGTGTTTGAGAATGGGAAGAGCCAGATGGGCCGCTTTTCCTTCGAGGTGTTCCGCTTTGTCAAGCACAAGAACCAGAAAATGTCCACCGTCTTTCTGCACTGTGTGACCAAGCTGTGTCGCTCTGACGACTGCCCCCTGCTCTTGCCTGTAAGGATGGCTGCTTGAGACTAATACCACAGTGAAACTCAGAAAGTGTGTCAACATGTCTGGGTCATATTTTTTGATATTATATATTATATGTTTTGATAACACTTTACTTAAAGCCTTTATGTATAATACATTATAAAGGTATTCATAACGTTGTAATGCATTATATCTTTTCATAAATAATTGTAACCTAAGTTAAAATGCCTAACCTAAGTTTGTTTGTTATATGTTTTAATGCATTATATTTTCTAAAGTTGTAACAATGGAATAGGTAAGTATTATAATGTATTATAACTGTGGTTACAATTATTCATGACTCATGAGATGATTCAAGGCATTATTAGGTGCATTACAAGGCACAATTAATGCAGTAAGACTACTTTTATAATGCATTATATATAAAGGCTTTAAGTAAAGTGTTACCTATGTTTACATTGTGACAATAAGTATATTGTTTTAATTATTCAGTTATTATTATTGCATTATATTATTATTATTATTACTACTATTACTACTACTACTACTACTACTACTACTGCTGCTGCTACTTCTGCTGCTGCTACTACTACCAGGAAAGATTATTTCTTAAAAAAAAAATATATATAAAATGTGCATAAGTTTGGGGTCAGTAATTTTATATATAAATTTTTTTTAAAGAAGCATCTTCTGCTTACCATTTATTTGATCAACAATACAGTAAAACAGTAATATTGTAAAGTATTAATACAATTTAAAGTAACTATTTTCTATTTTTGATTATTTAAAAAATATCTAATTTGTTCATGTGATAGCAAAGTATAATTTTCTTCAGTGTCACATGATCCTTCAGAAATTATTCTAATACGATGATTTGGTGCTCAAAAAACATTTATTATTATTAGCAATGTTGAAAACAGTTGTGCTGCTCAGTATTTTGGAAGAAATCGTGATACACATTTTTATTTCTAGAATCTTTGAATCTATTGATGGTATATTTGATTTTCATTTAGAAAAACAAAGAAACAAAACTTAACAGCAATCAAAAAAATAAACATTACAGTAATGCAAAACAATTATGTGAAAAATATTAAACTGTAAATGTGTCATGGTAGTATTGGTTTTACTGCCTTTAGTTTATGCTCATGCTGAGAATATAATAAGAGTCACCATCCCATCAATAATAGGAATTAAAAACAGTCTAGTGAAAGTAATAAGAATTTACAAGGAAAACACTTTTAGTTCTGAAAGTTTTAGTTCTGGTTGTAATAATATGCTTCGTTTTATGTTATTAAAAGCAAATAAACTTTAGGCTGGAACTGTGTTTATGACTCACAAATATTGTCATCCTGACAGATCTGTGGTAAGAGGAAGAAAAGGAACGTGTCGGAAAGAACTGCTGTGGCCTCTGACAATGCGGTCATGACTGCCGGGCCCATCATCACCCGAAGTGGTACGATATGAACTGTAATGTAGTGTTTATGTAGCTCATCTTGGTAGCACATGATTTCAACAACGCTCATTTTCAATTTTCATATTGAGCCTGTTATGTGACATGATTTAGCACTTTAAGGCAATAAGTGTGCTTCTCTTACTAAAACAATTTTCATCTGTCCACAGATGAAACTCCCACCAATAATTCCCAGCTAGGTAAGCCTTGCTTTGACCTTTTAAAAGGAAGCTAAATCCTTCTTTCTCAGAACTGTAGCTTTTCTGATGGAGGATAAAAGCATGCTTTACTTCCTCCCAGACAATATAGAGGAATTTGTTTTCCTCAAAGGATCTAGCGGCTTAAAACCGTGACCAAAATAACGATGATTCGGAGGGTTTCCGACAGAGAGAAGTTAATAGAGGGTAGAAGCAGGTGGTGTTATCAAGAAATGAATAAGAGGATTGAAAGAAAGAGCGTGCGATAGAGTTTGAACGGTGGGTTATGTATTGTAAGAAGTCTTCCTAACACTCTGTGTATGTGTGTGTGTGTGTTTTTCAGCACAGTTAAACAGCCCTCCATTCAAAATTAATTCAGTGACGAGCGCCTTGATTTCTGCCATCGCGATCCTCGCCGTTATGAGCATATGTTTCTTCATCCTGTCTCTGTCACTGCTGAGAGGAAAATATATGCCACCAACACCTCTGTCAGGAACCCACAACCCAGCGTTCAGCTAAACGCACACACACGGCTGTTCGGTCAGCTAAACAATACAGCAATACCTGTGTGCGGAGCTCTTCGGTTACACACAATCATAAAGTACAGGGAAATAATATCATAATGTCACTCTACACAGCCTTTAGCTATACACAGATGCCTATTTTTGGTCACAAAGCATGAATACTTCATTCTTATCACTGTAAATTTACATAACACACAATCCTAAACCATAAGAGGCTGAACTCTGATTGGAAATGATTCTCACACACACAATATAATCAGGAATAACGGCATTAAAAGATGCACTCAGTAATTTTTCCTCATTAAAATGTTTTACAGATGAAAAAATTTAATTTTGACTAAATCATGTATACTCATGTGAGATTCTTAGTCATACTGGTAGACCAAACAAATTTGGGGGCTGCCATGTTGAGATCACATGACCAGCTGAATAATACTGACTTAATGGACAATTTCACGAATGAAATTAGTTAGTCATGGCTAATAACGCATTTCTAAAACTGAAAACATCTGATTTTGCATAATTCTGCATCCACACCACTAGGTGTCAGTATAAGTCCAAGAAGACTCACCCAACAAAAATTTACAAATGCACTTTTAGGCCCGAAAAAATGGTCTATGCATGTACATGAAGGCAGATGCTTCTGGCTACGATAGACTGTGCAACGCAAATGCGTTTTCTCATCATTGCCACAAGTGGCGCTATATCTAAAACGGTCTGCTTTTATGATCAGAGTTCTCTTTCAGGTCAACTACTGTTATGGCGGAGCAACAGTTTAACCAAAATCTTGATCTAAGTCACTCTTGATAACAACTCAGCTTAACACATCGGTTTAAAGGCCAAATGTCATGTACTTGCGTAAAGCATATTTCTGGCTGTAAAGGGATAGTTTTCATTTTTACGTCGTTCCCAACTTATTTTAATTGATTTGAAACAAAGGAGATATTTTGAAAAATGTTTCTAGTGTTTTTATTAGGAGTGTAACGGTACACAGATGTCACGATTCGGTACGTACCTCGGTTCGGGGGTCACGGTTCGATACGATTTTGGTTCAACAAGAAAAAAACAACAAATCTACTATGCTAGGTTTCTTTTCATTTATTTTGAACAATCAGTAGTACAAATTACAATTTTTTCCACCTAGATGTGAAAATACTAAATATTATATTAAATTATGTTATATATATAAAATCTGCAGTACATATATACATACAAGGAATAAATTCTTGAAATATATTTGATTTAGTTAACAGATAAACAAGGGGAAAAAACTGTGCGACACCTAACGGAGCTTATATATGCTGAGTTTCAGTTCATTTTTGTGATGCACTTAATTTGTTCAAATAAAGGAAACTCAAATGTCAGAAAGTGACATCCTATTTGTTTTCTTTATTTTACAAGAGCACAATGTTTTGTCCTGTAGACCTTTTACAGTGATGCATTATTAATAAGACAATAAATGACGGAGTGTTTTAAGTTGATTCTGCTGGTATAAGATACAGTTAAAGTAATCGCGCCGGCGCACACAGACACATATCAGTTCCAGCTAACTTGACAGCGCAGTTGGTACTTTATAAAAATAAAATACAGTGAACCAAACATCAGCACGCCCGCCTCTGTGTCACCGTTGGAACGCGACTGAAGTACAAAGCCTATAATTTACATAATAAATAATTGTTTTGCATTCAGATACATCGCAAATATGGAAATATTATGGAATATTTGAATTTGCGCCGAATGAGAGAGGTAGGATACACGAGCACAAAGCTCCATTTCGCAAACAGTTGAGTGCGCAAGCCTTTAAAGTATACTCCTTTGTCAGTGAGAGACACGTTCAGAATCAGCACACGGTCACTGTCTAGTAAGTGTGCAACTCATGGCATTCGCTGTTCTTCTGCTGGCGGTTATCAAACAGCGTTGCATTACTGCAGGCGCCCCCTTCTGGATTGAGGGTGAATTGCCTGTATTCGTTGTAAGGCCTCATGCACCAAACCGAGATGTCCGTACCGTGACGGTTCGCTACGAATGCATGTATCGTTACACCCATATTTTTTATCCATAAAGTCATATGCTGTTGTTTTGGACCCCATTGTATGGGAAAACAACAGTTGAAATATATTTCAAAATATCTTCTTTTATGTTCAGCAAAGGAAAGAAAGTCACACAGGTTTGGAATCTACAGAAGCTTAATTTTTAGATGAACTATCCCACCATTTATTTCATACTTTTAGACGTGACTGTTACACCACTACACGACAGCCCCACAATTTGTTTCTGTCAAACCTGAAACACTAAAATGATACATTGAAAGTGATCGTAGTTACACAGTGTAACACAAACATGAATAAATATGTTGTTTTTACAAACCTTATTTAATTGCACTTGTAAATGAACTGATCAACAGAGCAGCGGACTGTTTTTTTACTTGTATTTAATTTGAAATGTCAATTGATCCGGATCTGTTGGTGCAGTGTAACTTAAAGTTAATACCTCAACCCCTTGCTTCATTATTGCAGGGTTTAAGATCAGTTACATGAAGAACATAAGCAAAGGTATCTAATAGACCTGCCTAACACATATTTCTAGTTCAGTAAGAATATTAGAGGCTATAGGACGGAAAGTGAGGAGTCTATTCATCACAACAGCACAAAGGATCATGGGACACCGGTGATTCAGAGTACATTACTCTCTGCAATAATTAGTTTGAGTTACAAGAGCTGAGAAAGAGACCATAGGGAACGAATTTAATTAAGTCGAACAGCAACCTAGATCACTATGCTATGTGATTGAGGTGGATGAGAAGACTATTTAAGATATTTTTAGTTTTAATTAATTGTATTTGTTTTTACTCATTAGTATTCATGTGCCTCAGTGATACCCACTGAACAGTAATGAGTCTTAGCTCTTAGTTTCACATACTCTAATATTTAGTATTAGCTTTTCTCTTTTATTTTTATTAAAGATATTTCAACGGAGTTTATGTCCAAGATAATTTAATTAAATTTAACAACCCATGTTATTATCCCCCAAACACGCATTTGTATTACTTTGTAGATTTTCCTTTCCTCTTTTTTAACAATAAAGTAAATCAGATGCGTGTCTGAATATTTTGTTTGCAGATTTTCCTGTAGTAATTACAAAACCCACAGGGATCACAATCCATTACTCAGTTCTATTATATTCAATGCTGTCTTGTTGAAGAAAGCAGGCTTTTAAAGCTTTTCACAATGATAGTAATCACCATGACGCCAGCTAAACAAAGAGCATGTATTCTTATCAGACCTTTGAAGATGTCCAGGCTTATTATCTGTGACATCAGTGACAAATATTAATGGGATTGTGGCAGAATAAATGAATGGCTCAATTTAATCTGAAGAATTCTGGGTACAGAAGGGCAAGGGATGGGACCCACAATGTCTTCTCTGGATATGAAAAACAAACAATCCATCAGAGGATAATTCCTCCTCTCCTGAGCTGAGTTGTAAAGGCAAAGACATCAGAACTCTCAGGGAAAAAAAACATATATTAATACCATGATAATCATTTAGATACCATAGTATATATATATATATATATATATATATCAAAGCATAATGATATTTCCTTCTAAAAACTATTACTGTACCATTTTACCGTCAATGTGCTTTATGTAAGAGTATTATAGTATTGGTTTCAAAGCTGCATGGTTTCTATAGTGACATATAAGTATACCCTTCTTAAATAAAAATCCACCTTTGTTCCTGACATGAATTTCCTGATCTGACAATCTCCTCATCTGCTATAAAGAAGGGTTGAGTGTCAGCATAGAATATAAGGATTAGCTCTTTTGATTTGGAAGTGACCTAAAAGCACAAACCCCGAATCATACAAGCTCAGCACTTTGACACAGAAAGTGCAATTCTAAATCGTAATGACAGAAAAAATGTGTTAAAAGGAGTTTTATAAATTACATAAAGCAATATATATATATATATTCATCCCACTAAGAACGAAAAGAAAAAAAACGCTGAAACAAAGTGATTAGTTTGGAGCTTAAAGCAGAGCCCTCTCATTACAGAGTAATCCACTGACCTTTTCACACCACTACCAGTGTTTATGAAACGTGCCCTGTTTTTGGACCTCTAGATATATGTGATAGCAGCATTAGTTTACTCGGACAACTGTTTAAAGAAAAAGGCACAGCTTATGTGATCAGAGATCTCTGACTTGACTAAAAATTTACAATTAGAAACCAGATTGCAAATAAAGCAGGTATAAGAATGGTTGGTGTATAAGCATCAAGTGACCTAATAAGCACTAATTGGGAACATCTGGTATTATTAGTATCTTTTTTCAGGTGTCAAGCTATCAACCAAACTAAACACAGTAAGTGACTCAAGACTCGATTGAGATATTACTGTGAATGGATGAGTCAAAACAAAGCCCAGGAGTCCACTGTGATGTGTATAATGAATGTTTTACTCACCCCTGTAATCATGTTGTCTGATTTCTGATCTATTTATTTAGTTATCTAATAATGCCCAGTGGGCTTAATTTATGAAATGCTGGCAGAATGAATTTTCTGTGTAAACAGTTTGCCAAATCATTCTTATGTAATTTGTTGCAACAGTTTTGTCTACATACCTGTATGAGAAATTAACATACAAAAAGCACAAATACACATATTTTATGTTAGATAGATAGATTGTTGTTTTTCATTATAGAACTTAATATATTATGGAAACAATTATTAAATTTTATTTAATATAAACCCTGAAAGCCTTCTACAGTTTCAGGTTTTGTTAATATAATATTCAGTATATTTCAACTGATATGTCAAGAGTAGTTTCCTTTATCGTTTCGAAGAAATCAGACAACAATGGCTAAAACAGTTATGTGGTTTTCGGGGAACACCTTGTCCAGAGAAAACAATGTTACCATGGAAACTGACAATCCATGAAAAACAGAGATAAACAACAACACAAAATTACTCAGCTGCCTACCCCTGTCAGGTTTTCAATCAAAACGGTCACATCCTTAAGACTCCCTTCGGTCAATCATGTGTGTTTGCTTTATCATCCTTATTTATTGTGTTGCTAGGATTACCTTTGGATCAACATAAAGATCCCTGACATTTCATACAGTGTTAAACTAAGTTGAAAAGAGCCATTGCTGCATTGTCTCTACTCCTCGGGGGCACGACACTTACTCCGTGAGGTCTTGTATTAAGATGCCAAGGATATCCATGTTTAAGTAAGTAGACAAAGAAACCAGGCCATTGTCACCTGCATATCTTTGAAGGCCCATGTTGTGTAGAGTTTAAGCAAGTGCCTTCAGGCGGTCAACTATGGGACTTTATTCACAAAAGGGCTGGTCCCAAACAGTGGACACACCAAACCTCTCTGACCTTATTTCACTCCCATCCCACAAAAGAAAGCGCTCTATAAAGGGACTCCACAGTTCACAAGATCTCACAGGCAGAGGATTCCCAAACCAACCGCAAACATGATCCAAGGTGCGTACGTGTCCTAGGACGTGTAACTGTGGGATATGCGCTAAGCTCCTGGATATACCGATGGTGACAAGCTGATTTTGATTATGGTGTATTTTCTTCCATGAACAGGTTCGCGTTCAGCAAACAACAGGAAAGATATTCTCCTCAACATTTTCCTCTTCCTCCTAGCTACAAAATTCGATAAAAGCTTTCCGTTAACACTGAGTGACTGCGGATCAGAGTACAGACGTCCAGGTATAGTTTTCATTTCTGATTGAATCACACAGAAATTAATTGCTTGTTTACATCATAAAAATATCAGAATTATTTGAATTAGCTTATTTTGATGTATGTCTTTGGGTGTTTTCAAGCTTGTGTTTCTGTCCAATTTGATTAACTTGGAAAACTTTTATTCGATTCAGTTGTTTTTTGCCTCAAGTAAGAGTTCGTACAGTTTTTTGCGCAACTAATCTGGTCGTTCTTGTCACGACAGAGTACACAGACATCTCTGTAGACTGTGGAACGGAGTACATCAATCTGGCCATCAAATTCTGTCCTGTCATATACACCGGCTACAACGAATCAGAGTTAATTCTCAACAACATCTTGAATAACCCAGACTGCCATGCGACCCTCGATACTACCGTTTTACCTCCCGTGGCCCGATTTAGGTTCCCGATTAACTCAACCAATGCCTGCGGCAGCAACTTTGTTGTGAGTAATAGCTATAAATCAAAGTAAATCATATAACTTAACTTATTATTCAAAGTCAAAACTAAATGGTCAGTCTGTTTTTATGGCAATAAATACAATTAATTCCTAACGTTTCACCACAGACAATAAGGAGTATAGGGACAGGCGTATTCTCAGACTTCTCCAACATCGAGACGGTCAACATCAGTGGAATTATACGATCGAAAGACATCACAACAGGCACTGTGACGTATAACGCTGAGCTGAAGTACTACTACTCGTGCGCCTATCCTCTGGAGTACCTGATCAACAACACTCAAGTGGATGTGTAAGTGCTTATTTTCTCTCATGGTATAGCATACCAGGTCTAAGATCCATTTACTGAGGATAAAAGAACAAAACTCGCTGGGGAATAAGCGTCTTGGTGTAGTATCACTTTCTAAGAACACGTTAAATTCAATTGGTCCATCCCTGTTGTTGTCCTCAAGGGACAGGAAGACGATATCATATTCCCAACAGAGAGACACAGATACACACGTCTAGTCTCAGAGTTGTCCACATTGAGTAATTGTGGGCAGTTTCAGCTAGACTTTAACCTAGTTATGCCTTCTCACAGGTCGGCCTCCTCGATTGCAGTAAAAGACAACAATGGCAGTTTCATCAGCACTCTGAATCTCAGACTCTTCAGTGTAAGTCTTTCCCTAAACTGGACCAACATGCATCTATAGATCAGATCAGCTAGAGACATACACAAAAATAAAATATTCATTTATCTGAATTTCTTTTCATTTCTCAGGACATGAACTACACCCAGCCTCTTGTCATGCCTCCCCTCGGTATTGAGCTGAGGACTAATGTGTTTGTGCAAGTGGAGGCCACCAACTTGACCTCCCAGTAAGACCTGTTACGTTGAGTATCATTATGGCAATAAATGAATCAATTTTGCATTAAAGTCGACGATTGTTATGTATTTCACAGGTACTTTGTGCTGCTGGACAGATGCTATGCCTCCATTTCCACCTTCCCCACCACCAGGAGCTACTTCAACCTCTTTGTGCCGTAAGTTTAATCATAAAATATTATTCGATTTTTGTTGTATTTTAACCCAAAAAGTACTGTGCCTTTACTATGGTACTTTGATCTATACTATGGGCATGTTACATTACCACTGCACCATGTATGTAAGCTTGTTTATAAAACTCTAAAATCTGTCTGATAGTATTTGGTGGGCCTGAGAGAGAATAATTTGCTATTTGATGATTTGTTTGATCAGTTGCGGCAGTGATCGGCTCACTAAAATGCTGGTGAATGGGGAGATGCAAATTGCTCGGTTCTCGTTTTCAGCCTTCCGCTTCACAGAGCAGCAGAACCAGACAGTATCAACATACTACCTGCACTGCATTACAAGACTCTGTGAAATATCAACCTGCAGTACATTTAGGGTAAAAACATTCAACTTATAATTCGCTTTCATATTACTTGTCCTTGAATTAGCTAATTATAATTTATATAAGCTAAGCCTAGGCAAATTAGAAACACCTTTTGGCTTGGGATGGGTATGTTTTGTTTTTTTCTGTCATTGTCCATATACATTGGTTTTGCCAAGCTTTGCTATTTTGGGGGGATTTTTGAACAAAAAAAAAGCAACATATACATTCAGTTCACCTACCCAGAGACAAACACTGGCCAAGACACTTTTTAGACTCACCATGCTCTATGGCTCTTTCCACAGCAATGTGGCCAACGAAAAAGGAGAGACGTTGTGCCTTTGACCACCACTCCTTCTCCAAATGGAGTCACAGACAGCAGAACCATCACATCACCAGCCATCGTCATACGTGCAGAAAATGGTACGTTCTTTCCCCTTTGTGAAAACAAAATGAATTATTGATCTCCAACACTGCTGAGATTTAAGTTCCAGATCTGATTTTATTCTGTTTATTTCATTTCAGTGGTGGCAACAAAAGAGGAAGGTGAGCTTAAACTGTTTCACATATAAAGCATGTAATATTTGTCCAGATTCACTTCATATTTTCCAGTGTTGGGGAATCATTTCCTGAATGTAGCAATGTTAACTAAGTTAACTAAATACTAATTTATTGAAACAAACATAGGCAACAATCAAGCACTCTCTTGTAGAATGTTCATTTTAGTGAATCAGTTTTTTCAGATGAATCATCTAAATGAACTAGTTCAAAAAGAAAAAAATCATCAATTCAAGTCTGTGTGAGGCATTATGTATCTTTTTACAGATAAACATACAGTACTGCTGTCTATCACTGTTTTTGACACTGTATTCTAGTTTTGTTGTTGTAAGTTATTTTTTGAGCCAAATAATTTGATTATTTTAAATAAAAAAAATATTTAAATTATTATTAAATTATTTAAATGAATTTACTATATGAATATGAATTTTCACTAGCCATTACTCCAGTCTTCAGTGTCACATTTTGATTTGCTGATTTGGTGCTCAAGACACATTTCTTATTAATATCAATGTTGAAAACAATTGTGCTGCTTAATATTTTTGATGAAATGATGCATTTTACTTCAGGATTCTTTGATGAATAGAAGGTTCAAAAGAATAGTATTTTTTTAAATAGAAATCGTAACATTTTTGACCCATTTATTGCCGAATAAAACGGAAACTTTAAAACGAAACTTTTGAATAGTAGTGTAGTTCGCTACTTTAGTTTGTAGCTTACATTCAATTCTAACCTCATATGTCCTTGTTTTGCAGAAGTCACAATCAGCACGAAAACACCTTCAGACTCCTCTGTGGGTCTCGGCGTGGCTGTGGGCATCCTGGCATTTGCCTGCATCATGATCGTAGGAATGGGAGCAGTTTTCTACAAGAGACACTGGCACAACGCACCTTCAAAAATGCCCCGGTGAGCTGAGACACCCTGCTCCAAGAGAGGACTGCCGGTCCCCGCCGGGACGATCTCTCACCGCTGGAGGGCTGAGCAGGGCTCAGCGTAGAACTGTTTCGGACATCTTGATCTTTTCTATAGTGTTTCTTGGTGAATAATCATAGCACAATGTGGTTTAGAAGAGCAACAGTGCACTACATCAGCTCTACACCTTAAACTTGTGTTTAAGTGTAGCATGGACCTGGGAATACATGTTAAAAGCACAACCAAAGCAGAGCTTTAATCCTTAGTTTATATATAAGGCAATATGAATTCTCTGTGATTTTGTGTTTTCGAATTGAAGTGCATTAAAAATACTGACCCATCAAATGAATCCAATCCGAATGTGTGCGGAGGGTTTGGAGCTCTTCAAGACAGTCCCTAATACCTTCTAAAATGTTATATGTTATTTATTAAAGACTACTCTTTCTGCTTAACCCTCATGCAATTTTGACACCCCCATATCTAAAGACTACTCATGCACAGCCCAAAACATCCCTGCATTTACAATGAAACTTATGACTTTTAAATCAACACATTTAAAGCAATAGCAGAGTTAGATTAGAGATTCCTTCTGCGTGTTCAACTTCATAAATAAAGAAATGGAAATGAAAGCAATTTCGAATGAGAGTGAGCCGAAGGAGAGTGCAGCAAAGCGTTGATTTTTAGATCTGAAGTTATGTTCTTGGCTCTGCACTTTGTATCTTTAGAATTCCTATGGCAGGCTGAGCTCTTAAAAGTAGATGTATATTTGTGATTCATCCATTAATGCATGCTTCATATGAATAAAGGCTGCTGGTACAAGAACAAATCACTGTCCTCTTGAGTGGATTCTTACTTAGTAGCATAAAATCATGACATCTGCAATGGAAATGGAATTAGATTGCTTGAAAATAGCATTTGGGCCTTTTAAAACTATTATACACACTTAAAATGTGACAGAGGTGAGTGTAAAAAGTTGTAAAGGTAGAAAATACCTATTTAAAAGTTGTCTATATGCTGAAAATAGGCACCTAACTAAAGTGGGTCATGCAAATTCATTCAGAAAAAGGGGATTTTTGGGTGCCACCATTGCAATATAACTAAAGTGGGTCATGCAAATTCATTCAGAAAAAGGGGATTTTTGGGTGCCACCATTGCAATATAACTAAAGTGGGTCATGCAAATTCATTCAGAAAAAGGGGATTTTTGGGTGCCACCATTGTAATATTAGTATGGAAATGTGAATTGAAATCTGATCACAGTCTAATATCATTTTACTGTGACCTGCCAAATTAACTAATGCCTGACCTGTATATTGTCAGGTGTCTTTACCGCTATGATTAACCTAAATTCATTGTTCTCATTGTTTAGGGAGTCTTAAAGGGTTAGTTCACCCAAAAATGAAAATTCTGTCATTAATTACTCACCCTCATGTTGTTCGAAACCCGTAAGACCTTCGTTCATCTTCGGAACACAATTGAAGATATTTTTGATGAAATATGAGGGCTCTCTGACCCTCCCATAGACAGCAAGGTAACTACCACGTTCAAGGTCCAGAAAAGTACCAAGATGATCGACAAAGTAGTCCGTGTGACATCAGTAGTTCAACTGTAAAGTTACGAAGCTACGAGAATACTTTTTTGCGCAAAGAAAACTAAAATAACGACTTTATTCCACATTTTCGTCTCTACTGCGTCACTTTGGACGAGCGTTCACGACAGTACCATGACGTGAGCGTGTGGCGACGCTGACCCAGATCCGGCGTGATGACGTCATTACGCCGGATCTGAATAAAGTCGTTACACGTTTTCATGTCTGACGCCTGAAACTGCTCTCACAGCCACGCTGGAGAAAACGTGATCTTATGCTGCACTCCCTATAAATACCTCACATAATTATCGCCAAATTACACAAAATGATCAATCAACCATTCACTTCATTCAGTTTTTGTTTTGTTTTGAGGTCATGATTGGGACAGAAACCCTGTTGAGTCTTCAGTGTGCAAGACGCCCAGAGGGGGAAAGGACAGATTCGCAGACGGATACAGCACAGAAGTAGGGCACATGATGATTCATACTGTCAGATGTTGAACTAGGCCATCATTTTGTGGCTCTCTTTAAGTCTCTTTGTTTCTTTTTCACATTGTTTTGCAAGCATCGCTTCAAATATTTCAACGCCCCACATTCTGACTCACCCGCAAAGGGTACAGTGGTTTTCCAAAGAAATGTATCATGAAAATATAATAGATATTTTATTTTTAGGATTTATTAATCCAGTTTTTATCTGCAGTGTCCTACATAGCACACAGCAGCTGCAGGAAATTTACTGTAAGAAATACAGTAACACAACTCATATCCGCATATTTTGATAACTGATAATGTTAATATACCAATCAATTTAAACAACTAAAGTAGGTCATAGACAAGAACGGTGGCTGATAAATATGTATAGACAGAGTACAGTTATATCCACGCCAACACAAAACACCATTAGGGTAACACTAAAATAATCCAATAAACTGAATACAACATACTGTAAAACAAATTTGCTGTCTGAAGTCTGTTAACATTTCCACCGCACATTATGAAGTAACTTTTATTTTACGAAATAAACCATTTTAACAACATTTTACTGTAAGAGTTTATGTATTATTTTGTTAAATATAGTATACACTTCATATCATAAATGATCATATTTTTTTACATATTTATATATTTACATATTTTGCAGTATTTTAAGATCAAAACTTAAGATAAATTTCAAGTTAAAAATTGTATTTAATTCACATTAAATAAAATAAACAATACTGTAAACGAAGTGCATTAAAAGTGTAATGTTTTGTTTTGTTAAATATACCTTTTATTCATAAACTATATGGTAACTCAATTTTGTTTACATATATCTATGTTAATGACCATTAAGATCAAAACTATTTTTTGTGTAAATGGTATAAACTTAAAGTTAACCAATTAGCATTTTTATATTCACCCACCAAATGTTAAAATTATAAATATGCATATTTCCATTGATGACTGGGAAAAGTACAATTGAATTGAATTGAATTTATCCAATAAAGTATGTAAAATGACAATGCCACTAAATAGATCAAAGTTCTTTTTCTTTTCTTTTATAAAGCTTTCCAATCTTGTTAAGGTTTTAAGATTTACCCACAGTAACATTGTCCTTTCATCTCCACCTTTGTTTCAAGCGCTCAAGACAATAGGATGGAATTTCCTATTGAGGAAAGCTTATTCATTATTCAAAGGCCCTGCTTCACAGGAGTCATACCCAGTTATTAATGATAGAATGAGTGGGTGAGAGGAGGACTGAAGAAGCAGAGTAATGAAGGAGGCAGAGGAGAAAGAGGGCTGTGCTTTGAACCTCACTGCAGGAGCGCTGTAAAAGCTTCAAAGCTCTGTGGCTTGAAGGAGACCTGCAGACCGAACACACATAAGGGCTACAGAGAGCTCTGAGCCCAAACCTGCTCAGTAATCCTGTATGCCTCTCTTAAAACCTCTTACAACAACGGGATATTCCTTCTGTCTAAAGACCACCAGCAGAGAAATATGCTCAGGTCACGGTCACACCTGTAGACTCACAAATAAGAGGGCTTCACTGAAAATAAAGGGCTTCCATTAGAAAGCGTTTCACAATGAAACACTTTGTTCTTGAGGAAAGTAACTTTTGGTCCTAACTGTGATGGAGAGGCAGCCTTTATCTCCTATGAAGTTTTGATTGAGTGCCTTTGACTAGTGCTCTAGTTTAGTATCCTTCAAAACCACAAGATATCAAAGGCAAATCATTTCAGAAAGTCTTTTTACAAATTGCATTGAACTGCAAACATCAACAACCTTTCAATTTTTTTTAAACCTTGGAAATAGATCAAACTAGAAAGTTCAAACTAGACTGATTTTATACTGCTTTTTAAAGAAAATTCTTGTAAAATGTATTAAACAGTGTTAGTAATATTTTACCATGTAATTATTATAAATAAATAAAAATATTTAAACATTATTATGATTATTGTGTTTTATTTTATTTTAAAAAGTGAATTAAAATACATTATTTTATATATAATATTATCATTATTTAAATTAAAATGTATTTATTTAAATAATTACAAATAAAGTCATAATAAATTTACAAAATAAATTGATTATAATACAAATACTATATATTGATCACTGTTAGTATTATTTTCATTATCATTATAGGCAGCTTACTATTATTATCATCATCATCTTTTTATTTTATTTAAATATTTGTAAACATATTTAAATATTTAAAATAGTGTAGAAAATACATTATTATTATATGCGTATAAAGTAATTATTATTATTTTAAATAGTAAAATAAATATATTGTTATAATATTAATAGTATCATTTTATCGAAATGAGTGTATTTAAATGTTTTTCTAATTAAAATGGATGAATATTTATTATAATATAAATAACATTTTATTTATACTAATAAAAACATTTAAAATATAAAATAATATTTAAAAATACATTATTATAATATAAATATTTTATTTCTATTTTATTTCAATCATGCCAATAAGGTACAAACACGAAAAATTGAAATACTTGGGTAAATAAAGTGTATTTTGCTTTGGCAGTAAAACGCAATTCCAATTATTCTTGACTGTAGCACTATAGTGCGTGAAGAGCACAAACACAACAGCTGTCTTTCTACCTATAAAACTGAGCTGCGTTTCAGTCAGTGTGTTTCCATTGCACATCATGCGTCCGGTCGATAAATTGTGATAAATATTACACTTGTCACCGAGCCCAATAATTGAACTATAATCATTACCTTGGGACACTGATCTATGGTCTCAATCAATGCTGCAGGCACGGTGGGATAGTTCTTGGTTCAGCTCACGGGGGGATCTCTCCTATCAGACCTCATCAGTGTGGTCAGCCTCTCGTGAAAGAAGAGACCTCATTCTAGAGCATGATTGGAGAGAGAAAGAAAGCGAGAATTCAAGACGAGCTAGACTGAAGCTCTGTGAGCAGAAAAGCTCCATGTGATTACTTCTGTTCTGCTTCAGACAGCAGCCATCATCTCAACACACACACTTTCAGATGGACACTGTGTGCTCCATTGAGAAAGCATCTGGGACAGATGGCAATAAAGGTGTAGACGACATTTTTAAAAGAATCATATTTCACCTGTTGTGCTCATAAACGCTGCAGCTTTACTTCCACTGACTGAAACATTCCCAGGTTCACAGCACAAATAATGTAGTCTTATCACTCCCTCCTTGTTCAGGTCTGTCTGTATTTGTTCGTGCCTGTATTTCGTGCTAGTCAATCAAAGTTAAACGGCGTAGCTCACGAACGGTATAGGTCAGGAAATTGGATTGAATCTAAACCTGATTCTTCAACCTGGGGCTGGGCAACAGTGTCAGATCCTGTTGTTTTTTCTGTCCAATCCTAGCTTTCAGTTTTGAGCACTGTTCAGGAATGAATCGTTTGTTTAATAACTCTTTCTCCAAACGCCCTTGATGAACCAAAGGCGATGCGTGAAATATCAATGTGGCTGTAAATATGATATATGAACAGTAGAGGGCAGACATGCAGCAGAAAGAGAACTGCTGTGTAAACGAGGGAGAGAGAAAGCTGAATAATGTTCGGCCTTGCTAGGCACTGAATCATAAACAATATTAGCAACATACCATTTCTATTGTTCCCCTGATAAGATTTAATAACCAAACGCTGTGTCTGATGAGGCAGAGAATCGTGCTTTTTTTCTGGAAAAAAAATACATGTTGCTATTACACCTGTTTACAGTATTATCAGTTAGAGCAGTGTTTCCCAACCTT